CTGTCAGGAACTCTTTTCTTAGGCCAAGAAGCTCTTGCCGCTCTTCCAGCTCGGGGTTAGGTAACTTGGTGGCATCCAGATATTTTGGACTGCGAGCCCTACAAGCACTGGCCGGCAGGATGGATGCTCAGGGATACTGGGAGCTGTAATCCCAAACCTCTGGAGAGCACTGGGGGTTTTGCCGTTAATGTCAACACGCAGCAGAACCTTGGAAGGGAGGCTGCAATTTGCATCCATCCACCATACACTCTGCGTTCATTTTGCGGGCGGCAGGAGTGGCGTCACGAAGGCCTGCCGTTCTGAGTGGCGGATGTTTGTTTGCCGATCTAGGGGGAAGAATGAGGGAAGAACACGAGAGGGGAAGAACACGAGATTCGCTGGAAGAGCCAAAACGCTCAATGGTGGCATTTTTTCTGTTCATCCGGTGGAAGCTGAGCAAGACTGACAAGGCAAAAGGGACAGCTGCATCGCCCTTATTGGCTCCTGGATAGCCTGGAAATGGACCAGCCCGTGGCTGATGACGTCCTGGAAAGTGTCGTGGCTGCTATGGAGCAGATTCTCACCCCAGGACAAAGAGAGGGGCTCCCCCCCCCCCCCGCCGCTATCTCTCTCTGCTGCTTTCGGTGACTCATGGAGCCAAAATTAAGCTTGCATCCCCTTCCAATGCGCTGCAGCTGCATTATTCCCACTGCCGCTCAGAACTGGCCCTTGTGCTCTTGATTCAGAAGTTTTGATCGCAGCACATACGCCGGTTCTGTGCTAAAACTGAAGTAAACTCTGCACCAGTTTTGCACAGGAAAAGCCTGAACTGTAAAAGCAGGGATGGAACGGTGCATAATTTTTACTCTTTTGCCAAATGTTTATTTATTTAAGATTTTTGTATACCATTTGTCTGACTGCTGCAGTCTCAGGACGGTCTTGGAATAAAAACAGGGCAATAATCAAGTCATAAAATAGCATCCAGTAATAAAATCATGCAATAAAAACCAAATCAGCTTTTAAAAGAATGGGTAAATAAAAGGCTTGGGGAAACCAAACCAGTTAATCCAAGGGTCTCGCACTTATCGTTGAAAATGAAAGCTTCACCCCTTCGAAGCCAAATTCAGTACTCAGCCCTGCATTTGGTGCCTTGCCCACTGTCCTGTGAATCTGGAGCAGAATTAGGACTGGCCCAGGCAGCTGGCCCCTGACCCAGCATCCCCGCCTCGGGGCACTCCCTGCCGCTCCCTGCCCAAGGTACCCTCTCTGGGCACACGCCAGGCCTCCCCATCACCCGCCTGGCCTGTCCTCCTCCCAGGATGGAGGAGCAGGCGTGCCTTCCTGCGAAGATGGCAGAGTGCCCACCTCGGCTTACATCCCAGACTTTCTTTTTAGGAATTAAGTGCTGTCCTTCCTTCCTTCCTTCCTTCGACCGCATTCTGAGAACGCAATTAAAGAAAAATCATTTTAAAAAGAGGAAGCTACTTCTAGGTTAAGGCGGCCTTCTAGCAACGCCGCTGGCATCCTTGCTGTCCTCTGCACACACGTTCCCTGTTCTGCCGCCCGTATTCGCGGCTCGCTTGGCTGGCTGGCAGCGAATGGCAGGCGCGGGGGGAGAGATCGAGGCTTGGGCTGAGCTGAGCGGGTGGCTGTGGGTCAGGCCACCGTGTGAAGGTGCTGCAAAGGGACTGGGAATGGATCTGCCCCACAGTGGGGTGGACTTGGCGATGCTCCTGTGCATGCCACACCAAAGGAACAGGAGTGCCTCTGGCCTGAGTCATAATGTTTCCATCACATTTTATCACATCGACCCAGACCTGGGGCAAGGTGTGGAACTGACTCGGTGCTTCCGTTTGCTTGTCCACTTGAGTGTGGGGGTTTTTTGGGGGGCGGGTTGCTTTTTGTTTTGTTTGGCCAGGCGTAGTCTTCCAGGCCAGGCGGAGGGTCCTCAGAACTGCCCCTGACACTCGTGAGTGAAGGGATGTGATGGAGCCTGCAGAGCAGCATTGCAGATTTCAGCCCCGGTCCCACGTTTTGTGCCTGCCAAAGTCCAGACCAGCTGTGCTCGAGGGCACTCCCTCCACGGAGGGGCCGTGCAAGCCCTCTGCACCTTTGCCCTGGCAACCTTTCCGAGAAGCCGCTGTGCTGAATCTCCCCCCTCCTGTCCTTGCCCGGGTGGTGAAAGAGGATCCGGGTCTCAGGCATGACCCCAAAGCCCCCACTGCAAGGCTGCTCACGCAAGACCCACAGCGGGTGGGGGAATCCCTCCAGATGTGCCCCCAGATCCTCTGCTAACCAGCACTCTGGGTCCCCCATGCCCAACTTCGAATTGCCAGCAGAAAGTCCACTTCTCCGTTTTCTCCTAAGGGTCCGGGTCGGTGCTGGAATATCTCTGTTACATTCCGTCACCGTTAGCTTTTCTAAGGCAAGCAAGGTCTTCTTTGTGGTGGCTCCTGCCTTGAGGAATCCCTCCCTGGGGGCGATACATGAAGCCCCCCCTCCCCCCCGCTTGCATTTCGCTGCCTGCCATGGAGTTTGGATGCTGTTTTCTGAGTCTGTCTTGCCTCAGGAGCTATTGAGGTCGCGGTCAGGATTAAACTCCCGTTATTGGAGGCTGAGTGGGGCGTTGCTGGAACCTGCGGGGCGGGGGGCGGGTGTTTACTCTTTCAGAGAGATCAAGGATGAGTACACTGATCCTGCTGGCCCCAGTGTGTCTAGTGTGATCAAAGGGGTGAGACGTGAGCAACACTCTGGATTGGATCTTGGACACGGCTATACATGGTGTGTCCACCATCTGGGGACTTGGCCCCCCTTTCTGGAGGTTTGGAGAGTTATTGTAAGCCGCCCCGAGGCTTCGGCAAATGGGGCAGCATAGACATTTTCGACATAAATAAATAAATAATATTTCTGCTTCCAGGTTGGACTTTGCCTTCCCCTCTGTGCAGCCAGTGATAAAACCAATCCCCACCCCCGAAAAGTGAGTATTTCCCATTCGATAAAATCGTAATGGCATGCTTTTCTTCCGGTTGTGGCGCAGAGCTGAAGCAGAGGAAAAGCTCCTGCGCTTCTGCACGTGGGGCGTTGGCACCTCTCTCGTCCTCTCTCTCTCCGGAACCCCGTTCCTCACCCCCTCCTCCAGCTTTTCTTCCTGGTTCTCTAAATATGGAGACCGTGGGGGGGGTGCTGGGGGGTGGAGGCTCAGCTGCAGGCCGAGACCTCCCGTCGGCAAAAGCCAGGCTCTGCCAGGGAACGAAGGCTCTCCAGTGCTGCCATTTTTCCTGGCCTTTGGGCATTGAAGGCATCACAAAACCGCCACCCAAAAGTTCCGTTTTAATGTGAGCCCTGAATCCAGACTGGCTCCCAGGGTGCTGTGCCGGGTTAGGATACCTGGGGCCCCTCTGGTGGGCAGCGGTGACCAACTCAGAGGCAGGTAGTGGGTGGGGAGGCAGCGGGACGAGGAGAAGCATTTCCTAAAGGAACGCCAAGAGCTGGTGGCCCCGCCAATTCCAGAATTCTCCAGCCGCCACTGGAGCCCCACTATAAAATCTGAAATTACAATTATATATTATATAAAATCTGAAATTTTATATACTATATAGTAAATTTTATATCCTATAAAATCGGAAATTAAAATGCCTAAACGATGCATTTGTTGCTAGTATTGTTGTCCTGATCCTCAGCGAAAAAGGACTGCAGTCGGTAAAACAAGGCCTGCCCTGCAGACTCGCGATCTGGGAAGGCCTGACAGACAAGGAGGAAGGACGAGGGGGAGGAGGGCTTTCAGCTGGGCGCCGGGGACGGCTCGGCTCCTCACCGTGCCGTCTGCTGGAATGGCTGCCGCCGAGGACCTCTGGGTGCCCCGGGAGCTCCGCATGCTGCGGGTGGCACCGCAGGAATGCACCCTCAAAAGAGCAGCCAGGTGGGGTGTGGGGGGGGCAAGGTGCTGTCTGCCTGGAAGGAGGCCCCTCCACATGGCTAGGGGGGGCTGGGCAAGCTGCTCTTGCTCAGCAACTGGGGCAGCGTGCTCTGCACATGCTCTGAAGTGTCTTTTCCTGTTCAACTGGACTCACCCTCCATATTTCTTGGATGACCGTTTCCATCACTCCCCTCCGGCACGGCGATCGGCAGTCCAACACACCTGGGAGCTTATATCTTCTCTCCATCAAGGAGCTGGTGCTCAATCCATGCAGGTCCACCTTCCCCTGTGTGAGGCCCTCCAGCTCTTTTGGGTTGTCAAGCCCATCAGCCTCAGCCAGCATGGCTGAGGGGCAGGAATCCTGGGAGTCGTAGTCCTGAAGGGGGCCCAGCTGTTCTGGGTGAGGAAAAGATGGCGCTACAGGGCCAGGCGGACACTGCCCGGGACACACCTTGTGGATCGGGGGGTGGCCCAGCACCCCGGTCTTCATTGAGCTGATTGAGTGCTGGACTGGGGCGGTGGCGCCACGTGGCTGGCCACGACGTGGCCCCGAGGCCGCAGGCAGAGGGAGAGCCACCGTTCCTCCTGCGTGGCGCTGAAGGCAAACCCCGCCGGCTCACCTCTGGCTCCCTGTCAGCTGCGCCTGTCAAAACACCTGTCTTTCCCAGGCTCGGAGAAGCTGGGTGCCGTTCGCAGCACACAACACACAACACAACAGCCCAGGCACCCCCGTCCTCTGCAGTCATGCGCAGCGCTTGTCGGCAGTGGCGTCGGCCAGCAGGGCGCATCCTTCGTGTTTGCTTTGTGCTGGCTGAAGAGCCACGTCGCTTGCGCTTTCTAACATCAACAAAGGGGCTCGGTCTGTCCCCCACGCCCACGCCCGCGAGAGCAGCGTGAAGCTGAACCTCGTGGGCTCCTCAGCGCCCCTCTGCCGCGCCGAGGGCCAAACGCGCCATGGCTGACTCCGGGGATTTTTGAGCAAAAGGGGCTTTTTGTGCTCGTGGCTTGCGGCTTGCGTCTGCGGCCGGCTGCTGAAAATCCCTCTTCCCAGCAGGCACCCGTCAGCCCCAGCTGCCTAATCGGACCATTCCTCACGTTCGCTTCCGTCGCCAGGGCATTTGGGCGAGCGGGGATCCTGAGCGAGGGACCTGAGCGCCGACGCGCCCAGCAGGAGCCGGCGCACCGAAGAGGGACGGCTCGCCCCCTCCCTCTCGGGCGCACGTTGGCGTGGTCCCCCGAATCCCCCTGCCAGGTGGCTGTTTCCCCTCTCTCTCCTGTCGGGGGGCCGGCCAGCCCGCCCGCCCGCCTGCCTCCCTTCCCTTCCGTGCCACAATGGACTCTCCCATCATTCCGCGAGCTTCTCAGGGGCTGCAGCGCTGATGCTTCAGGTCCCCTCCTGCACCTCCTTGCCGCATCCTTCACAGGCGAGCGCTTGAGCGGAGCTTGGGTACCACAGGAGGTAAGCAAAGACAACCGGCGGCGGACCTCTTCCGCAGAGGGCTCTGCTTCAGCCTCCCCGCCACATCACGGGGGGTGCCAGAGCAGAACTTGCCCAATTTCTCCCCACATCGCCCTCGATGAGGCCATTTTGTCCTGGAAAACCTTGCCTCTGGCGCTGGGCGCTCTCCTCCGCCTGCGTTCGCCAGCGTGTGCGTTTCTCCTCCGTGAGCCTCGTTCATGTTGTCCGCCTTGCTCTGCTGGTCCGGAGCCCATCAGGGCTTCCTCGGCTCGGTCGTAATTTGCAGCGGGGCCATTCATCCCAGGTGGACAGCTGGGTTTTGCGAGGGGGAAGCAATTCGTAAGGATACGCCATGCACCCGAGCACGAAATGACCTTGAGCGCTTGGACGGCAAATTCGGGGGTGGCTGGTTTCCTTTTCTCTCTCCTGAACATCAGGCAGTCTGGCTCCCCCGCACCCCCTGGCCCCAGAGATTTTCAAGGGAGGGGGCAGGTGGCTTGATCAGTTATCCCCCCCGCCAAGCCGAGATCATCTTTAGAAAGTACGTTGCCTGTGTTGACCAAGGAAATATGTTCTGATCTGAGCAATTTCAGCCGAAGAACTGTCGAGCATGAACAATTTAATTGTCAAGATTAAAAATAGGCTCGTGCTTTGGGGGGGGGGGAGAAACAGGGTCGGCTGGCATGGGACGTGCTGAGGATGGTTTTGGTTTCCCTTTTTCCATGTCCGTTCCTTTATAAACATGCAGCTCGGGCAGTGAAAATCTGTTGGAAATGCAGATCGGGAGATGCTGTTCAAGAAAGGCTGGTGTGGCTCCTTCGAAGAAGCTCCCACCTTTCCCTCCACATTGCTGGAAACTACTTTACCCCACAGGCTGAAGGACTGCTGCTTTAGGGCTCTTTTTAATGCGTGGACGAGGCAGGGTTTCCAAAAGGGGGTCGTGCCGCCTCCTGACACCCTGATTGCTGGCTGCCGCGTATCTGTCCCAGGCCCCAATCCCCTCCCCTGCTCCCCTTTTCAGGTTCTGCCTCTTCCCTTTCGACTGTGATATTGAAGAAGGTCATTAGCCTTCTGCCAGCGATGGCTCTTGTCAACCTGCAGTCCCCACCACGAAGGGGAGAGAAGCCGTCTCTCTCTCTCTCTCTCGAAGCCTGTGATGACAAGCGGGTGGGGCGGCATGCGGCGGGGGGGGGGGAGCACGTGACTGCCACTTCGCAGGGCTTTTAATTTGTATTTTTAAACAGCTTCTTCTCCGCTGAGTTGTTCATTACAGCTAAATAGCAAGGTGCTTCCTGGCGCCAGAGGGCAATGGATCGGACGGATGGAAGCAAAGATGGTTTTGCTAAGCTGGTTTGGTGGGTGACCTTGTCAGCTGAAAAGCGGCCCCCCAGAAAAGGGTGGAGGGTTTTCCTTGTTTGATCTCTGTTAATTTAGATTTAGCAAAATGCAAGGAGCACGTCAGAGTCTCAGAAGGGAAGTAATTGCTGAGTGGCTGTTTTGTAAGCCATCTGAGACGGCCTCAAAGGCCCACTCAGAATCCTGGAGATGCGATGAGGGAGGCCGGCAATGCAGGTGCACTCTGCACATGTTCAGAGGGATGCCCAGCATTCAGAGCAGATTCGGGGGCTAAGAGGGCCCCGTGTGAGCTATGCATTCAGTCAGGGGGCGAGTGGACTGGCGTGCAACGCTGCTGGAGTCCTGCCTGCGCTCACTGAGTGCGTGCGTGCGTGGGGGTGTGTGTGCCTGGAAGCCTTCCCCGGAGGACTTCCGTCCCGCTCCAGAATGGCTGTGGAACAGAGGGGGTGGACTGGAGCAGTTCGAGGGCTGGGGCCTCCACCATGGTGGCCAGTCCCGTTCTCAGGGGCTCCGTTGCAGGTCCGGGATCGGTGGCAGAGTGGAGGTGAGCTGGAGCCGCGGGCAGGATTTCTGGAAGCAGTGTGGCACGGATTGCGGTTCGATTTTCAGAAGCTTTTCATAAGAGGTGGCTTCACGTTCAAGGGGACCCCATTTCTGCCCTCCTCTGAGGAAGCCCCCGGCCCTCCCTGGGGCCCCCGCTGGGCGCTCCTGCAGCCTCCCTGGAGTGCTTTCCTGGCTGGACTCAGACAGGCCCTGTCACGCCACGCGGCCCATCAGGCCCCCCCCAAAGCCCAGCCCTGCACCCAGCGCCCTCTGAGGACTGCCCGGCCAGCAGGGGGCATCCCTGCCCAGGCATTTCATTCTGCTGCTTTGAAACCTCCATGGGAAAGAGAAGTTGACCTGACTGATTAAGCACCATGCCAGAGTGGCGGGCACACCTGTGGCCTCAGTGCAAATGCAGCGCTCCCCACCTGGCAGGGCCACGTGTGACCAGGTGAGCTGGATGCCTGCTGTCCAGGTGAGCCAAGCTGGGGATGGGCAGCTTCCAGGCCCTGCTTTGGGCTCTCTGGCTTGAAACCAGCTCGGATGGGTGGCCCCTCCCAAAGGAAGCGCCATCCAGACAGAGGACTGCCCTCAGCCAGCTCTCCAGAGTAAAGCATTGCCCTCTGAAAAACGAGGATACCTGGCTATCCTAGCTGCATGTTGTGGGCGAAACTTACCTGTCCTCATGACAGCAGGTGTGCCAGCCTCCCCTCTACCCAACCCATGATGGGGGGAACAGGTCACAGTTCTCTGTAATACCTGCTCAGCCCCTCCTGCAGCCAGCAAGGGATGGGCCTTTGACTAGTTAAACTAACACACCATTATGCTGTTTGCCGTTGAGCTTTCATTTCTTCAACCACTTGAGTTGTCTAGTCACCTTTAATCAAGCTCAGCTCACCACAGGAGACCAGATGGGTGCCTATTTTTAAAAAAGTATTCCCTTCCATGCAGGCATACATTCACACACTTCCCCTGCCCAACTCCCACTCTCTCTTGCTACCAGACACATTTCTGTTGCTAATGATTAAAAATAGCATCCTAGTTGGAGAGGGGAAACGGCGATTTGGCAAACAGTTGGATTCTTGCATTCATCCGTGCGCATCCATTTCCCCGCTTCTCTTCCCTGGAGCACATGATCAGGAAGTGGAACTGATATCTTTGCATCGGAGAGTTCTGGGCCAGTTTCGGCACAGTAGCAGCAGTAACCCCTTCCTTGTCCGCCACCTTATTTAGCACTGCTCGGTTGTGGCGACCAAACGGCCAGCTGACACGTGTGCTTGAGTGCACGCCAGTGTCCAGTGCAGCTTGTCATGTCTGAATGGTCCAGCGCAGAGACAACCTGCAGGCTGAGTGTTCTAATCTTGACCAACCTTTGTCTGAAAAGTTGCTGCAGAGCAAGACTTTGGAGAAATTCCAGCCTGCACCTCCTCCTCCTCCCCTCTTAGCCAGGCCTCTTGATATCCTCTGTAAATAGCAGGGAATATTTTAATCATGAGAGGTCAGGGTGGTAGGAACAGCCAAAATGCCAAAGTTAGAATGCCAAATTAACAGCCAAGTTAGAATGCCAAAAGAGAGAGAATGCTTTGTTCTTCCAGAACTTTGTCTCAAAGGCTGACCCCTTCTCCGTACATTTTTAGGTGGGCTTTTAAAGCATTTTTTTTTCTTCCATAAGGTTTCTTAGTAATTTAAATGCACGTGTTCCATATTTTGTTTTTAAGATTCCCTCCTTCTCTTAATTCTGCTGATGCAGATGATTCAAACTGGTTTTTAAAGGGTTCTGAGTTCATTTTAAAAATTCGAATGTTTAAAGGTTTTGAAATGGTTTTGAGTTTTAATTATGAATTGACTTGTGCGACCCATTTGGGCCAAAATGGGATGTCTCGGCGGGTCCTTTTGCTTGCTTGGCTTTATTCTCCTTCCAGTTTATTCATTTATTATTTCAATTTATATGCTGCTATATTAGCCCACACCCAGGTTGCACGAGGATTTCTTTCATGTTGGTGACATACAGGTACGTGAGGGGATGTCACACGGAGGTGGAAAGAGACCTGTTCTCCCCTTCAGAGGAAGGCAGGACGTGCTCCAACGGAGCAAAGCTCAGGGAACCCAGGTTCCATTTGGATGCCAGGAAGCACTTTCTGACAGTCAGGACCCTGAGGGCTTGGAATGGGCTCCCCCGGGAGGTGGCTGAGGCCCCATCGGTGCGGGTGTTCAAGGACAGGCTGGACGTCCACACGGTGGGCATGTCGTGAGCAGAGCCGGCTGGAGCCGGGGGTCAGACTAGATGGCCCGGGAGACCCCTTCTGACTCGCTCTGTTTCTGTGTTTCAGAAGATAAGTGGTACCTACACCAGCCATAAATAAGGCAAGCAAGCAAACAATATACCCACCTTCAATATACACCTAGAACATTGATGCAAGATTCCCCCAATGGACCCTTCCCCAGCCTAGCACCCTCCACACATTCTGGACAACAGTGCCCAGCATTTCAGAGCCCTTCCATGCTGTCTGGGGCTGATGGGAGCTGAAATCCCAAACACCTGAAAACACCAGTAAAGACTGCACTAATAGATAATCCTGTGAGTCTATCTTGCATTTCTGTGCATAGGTGTGTGTGTTGAAAAGAAATGAATAGATGTGAAAACAGAGCACATGCGTGCTTTCTGCTCACAGGGAACCGCTCGGTCACAGATATAGGCTGCCGGATAAACGCACTCCTCCAGGGACAGCACCTGGTTACATCCCGCTGTCTGATAGGCTGGCGATGCGTATTGATGTCTCTCCCACACCTGGGGAAATGCAGGGCCCTGCCTGGGACCTGCCCAGGTCTCCTGATTTGCTGGAAGGGCTTGAGGGGAGGGGGAATAGCCCGGCCCGCTGGCACACACGCTCCAGCTGCAGGTGATGACATCCGCGGCCCCCGCCCTGGGAGGGCATCCCCTGTGCTCTTCTCCTGTCCTGCTCAGGGCCTCGTCGACTGTTTCGTACGTGTGGGGACCGCCGAAGGCTGCACAGATTCTGAGTCCTGTGGCCCACTGTGGCCCCCGCGGCCTCCCCGACCCCCTCAGCTGGAAAAGAACCCCCGGCCCTTCTCAGGTGCTCCCCCGCCCTCCACCCCCGGTGCTGCTGCTGAGTGTGGCTGCAAGGATAAAGTACAGCTTGGGAAAAACGAAATTGCAGTTCATGAATAAGAGCTATATTAAATATACTGCAGTGAGCTTATTTCTCCCTAGCTGGGGCTGGCACTTCATTGTCTGTGCCTTTTCATCGCAGCAAATTGCCCTCTTGATTTATTTTTCCTGCAGGGTTTGCCCATAGTCTTTTGGGGAATGTAATCTGCTTTTTACGTGCATGAGGAAGGGAAGGCACTTAACACACGGAGCCTCCTCATTAGACACACAGCGTGCTGTGCCTGGTGTGTTTTCCCCACCAGCATCTGATCCCTGTGCAGCCTGGCTGAGACCTCAAGGAGCTTGTGGCTATTTTTTCAAAGCATGGCGCATCCTAAATCAATAAATAGAGACGCTCTTATCAATGCTACTCCTGTGCCAGCGCTCTCTTTCTCAGGGGAGGGGAGTAATGCCCACAGCCAGACCGAAATATGGCGCAAAAGCAAATTAGTGGACTTCACCTGGCTATGCTTTGGTCTGCATTTTGCAAAAAGCATGCATTTCCTAGCCTAAAGAACAGAGGGAGCTTTCCAAAGACGGCAGCAAGAGCAGACCCCAAAGAACTCAGCCTCCCCCAGGGTGTGTTCCCGGGGGACCTCGCGGTGTGTCTTTTGCAAGGCAGGTGCCGGAGACTCCCTGGGCCTGCGTGGGGGCGGCTCCTCCCTGCTTGCTCCAGCCTTCCAAGACCTCACAGGTGACAGCACAGGGACAGCCGGGGGAACTTGCCGGCGAGGCTGGAGTAGAGGATTCTCAGCGTGGGCTGACTCTCACCGGGGGGGGGGGGGGGGGGGGGGGGGGGGGCCCCCTTGGGGGGGGGGTGGGGGGGGCTGCGCGAAAAAAAGGGGCGCGCGATACCCAACGAGGGTATTTTTGGGGTCTTCTTAAACAG